GCTACGTGTAGTTCATAATTTGCCTCCTCACTTCCTAATATGTTTCAAATATAATCAGGACAAATTCTGTTTCTTCCAACAAGTGAATAAGCAGCAAAATAATGGAACAAGCTGCATGTGTGTTGCACACTCTAGTTTACACTTTCAAACCAATAACTTAGTTCTTCAGGAAGACTTTCCAGTCCTCCAAGATATTTTCTTCCATTAAAAAAAATAAATCCATTTTTCTCAGTTATAGATCAAGTTAACATGCTATTAGTAAAAGATGTGTACAGGATAAAAGATTAGGAATATGCTAATAAGTATGAAAATTGACCTGCACAACTTGAACATAGGTTAGAAAGCATGACAAGAAACAAACAACAAAAAAACCCCAAAACAAGCAAAAAAGCCACCCCAAAGCAAAAAACAGCACCCTTTGGAATGACTGGAAGAAAGAATGTATGTCTGTCTTGGCACTTTGCAGCATGTTGGACCCTAAATGTGCAGCAACTTTATATAGAGAAAAGTTATTTTAGAGGTTTTTAAAAATGTATTAGACCTAGTTTTTCTGTCACTACATTGCCTGTACTTGCATGATAAATAAAGCAAGCCTACTTCACAGGCAAGAAAGATCAGAAAAAAAATGATTCTTAAAACAATTTTTACACTCTTAATGTTTCCATAAAGTAGCTTTTCTCCAAAATGTACAGCACAAGTAGCCACATTACGTGAAAGTGTGTATAAGAATGTGTATATCTCGCAAGTTTTCGAAGATTACTGTGTTAGCTCTCAAGAAACATGCAACGGTTTCCCAAGTTATCATGTAATCATATTGAAATTACATTATACTGGACTTTCTCCTCCCACATTGCATACTACTGTTACATTTAAAGTTCCTTCAGGCAAGAACTGTGTCTGTATCTATTTTGTAAGGTGTTATGCAAACATATGGTGCTGTAATAACTAATAAATAATCATGAGTAAGCAGTAACCTCAAACTTGCGCTGGGAGATCTTTCCTAAGTATACCCTTGCTTACTCTTGTGTGTTAGCCATGTACACTTGTGAGCATACACAGGGGAGCATACATGCACGTGGGAGCACAGCAGTGTGTACTGGTGATAGCCGTAATGATGCAGAGGTAAAATCTGTCTTCAGACCTTTTTCTGGCACTTTTGTACCCAATTAGCTGAAAACATTAAATGACTACATTAACAGACTGGGAACTATCATGCCTGTAAAATGGAGTCAAATTCTTTTGAATCAAAATTTCAGAAAACAAGTGAATAGTATGTTCTAAGCCATTACCTGCCTTTTAAACTGATTGTGCATTTTTGCATCAATGGGGGGAATGAAGTCAGTTCCTTTGAAAATAAATAAATTATAGGGTTTATGACTCACATAAAAGAAATGTGACCTTGGTGATGTCTGAACTTATCATAAACTACCAAGCAAGCTACATGCACGCTCTTAAACAATTGTATATTAAAAAAATGAACAAAATATTTCACAATTACTTATATCTCTTCCCCTAGCCATGCCTGTTGTGGGGATTACAGAACCTGTTATATTTTGCTCACCTGCAAACCCTATCATTAGATCCTAAATCTGTGAAGTCATGATTCAAATAAAAAGAGACAAAAGCTAGTAAAAGTGAGATATAGTCCCTCTATTTTTCCAGTTTCAGATGAACACATTTCCCTATAGACTACATAGTTCTCTGATTAATTCTGCTAGGAAAGAAAAAGGAGAAGATACATTTCCTCCATGGTATGGATAACTTAGCTCCTGTAACTGTGAGACCATCAGTGTCTGTAGGCCCTGCAAAGCTTACCCCTCGTGCCTACAATGGAAAGAGCCAGTAAATCCACATTCAAAGGCAGAACTCCTTTGCTCACATTACTTCTTTAGCCTGATCTTTATGTTTTCTTCTCTGTGGAGCAGCAAACTCACTATTAAGGCTCCAAAAGGGACTTTTTTGAACCTGGAAGAGAGAGAGAGAGAATAACCTGAAACACTGTCCTTTAAAAAAACAATATTAAATGATCTTTGTACAGTTGTGCTTGATTGAAATGTCTGGGAGACAGCCATTCGGGTCTGGGCTGTACTTAGTTGCAGGCAGTTGCTTGCTGAGGTCATCTTTCCCTGTTGCAGAGTGTGGTTTTGTTTTGCTAAACTGGCATGCACAGCCTGAATCTCTCCCAGGAGGCTTGCTGTGTCAGTAAGGTGTGTAGCTGATCCTTCCACTGCCTTTACCTTGCACACTCTTCCTCATACTGGGGGCCTGATCACTTCCATCATCTTCAAAAGCTGCTTCTAGAAACTGCATTGAAAATAGCACATTGCCCTTCTGCTCTGTTTTGGGGAGGGGAGAACAGATGTTTTGTTGTTGCTTAATGATTAAAGAGCAGATAGAGAAATCTTAACAAAGTCTAGATTAATTCACAGCAGTTCAAGCAGCCTACAAGCAATTATATCTTTTGGAGAATCACGTGTAAGGTGATTCTCTTCATCTGCATCAGCAACAGGGATTGGAAATCAGTTCAGTCACTTTAACAAATATTCATAACCGGTTACATTGGCCTTTAGATGGCATATGTGGCCTGGGAGATAGGAACTGGGTATCTGACAGTAATCACTGGGAAAATTACTAGAACTAAATGAAATAATTGGTTTTGTTATTTTGTATTGTTGTATGTAAGGCATGCTCTGACTAGGTCTTTTTGCATAACTCCCATTGGAACTGATGGAAGCCATATGCACAGGAGAGAAAAATGGACTCATAAAGATATTTCCTTCATCTTAACACTATCTTACTTCCTTCACTAGGCACCTTAACAATGAACATGCATTGGATGACAGAAGCACTGCTCAGTGTCGGGTGCAAATGCCGGTGGGTCAGCAGTTAGAAATACAGGTTTGTTACATGGATGTATTATCCTATTACTTATTTACTGTTAAGATAAACTAAATTGGAAACACTTGCCTTAGTGACTCTAGCTTAAAGCCATATGTTTCTTGTATGAAATTTGTTGATATTCATTAACAACTTGGGTTTTTTCACTTACAAGATTTTTCACATTATAAATTATGCAATAATTATCTAACATCAAGATTGTCTACAATATTTTTCTTGAACTGAGACTCTAATGCCGTTCATCACAAATGAAAAATGCAGTCCCTGGAGCAAAGACTGTATCTAAACCATCTTCAGTCCTTGAAATGCTGGGTCAGGACCCCTTTTCCTCCTCTTCCTTCTTCCCCTTCTGACCTGGTGCTTGTCTATGCCGTTCTGCAGGATAGAAGAGTAGCAGAGCTTGTCTCCACCCGAAATTGCTCCCGGCCTGATGGTGGGCACTTTTCTGCAAGGAGAAGGTGTAATCTCAGACCCACTCAGGGAGGTTCCCAGGGAGTTACGCACCTGGGGCCAGAGGACTCTGGTGCCCTGTGCATTCTCTAACCATTAGAGGTCACTGCGTGTATGTGAATGCTCCCTTTTTACACAAGAAGCGAGGAGTGCCCCTGGGGTCTCCCAGTATTGAAACTACACTTACCAGGTTGGGCACAAGCCTCGGGAGTGACTGTGCAGGACACTTAGACCACACCATCCCCTGCCTCCCGTGCAGCAGTCATAAGGGGACGTTTCTCAGCAGTTCTGTCCCCTCCTGGGGCAGGTCAGAGCAGCTTAAGGGACACAGCAAGGGATTGAGATTTTTGTCTGTTTCTTGCCATATGTGGAGATAGAAGGATAAACACCTTTCACCTTTCTCACCTTTTAGCATATTGTTTCACAGTTCTCTTGCATATAAGAACACTTGTTCTTTCAGCCAAGGCAAACTTTATTGTCAAAATAAAAAAAGATTCTTTTCTATTTTAATACCAGAAACTCAAAACAATGAGAGAAGTGTACAATAACATAATTCATTGTAATTTCCCTTAAAATGAAAGATTTAAAAACCCAGGTTAAGCTGCAGTTTCTTTTATAACATTTAATGTATAGTATTAGCTTAATTTATTTGTTAGGAAATTATATCATGTCTCTAAAGTGTCACACACATAATATGAAGCCTAAGAAGAAAAGTTTTTTCCTCCCATTGCCTCAAATGTTCTTTAGTTGTAGATGCACTGACCAAATTATATCCAGCATACCCAAAATACCTGCAGTGATACAGATAGTTTCCTCTCTTAAATTTACTTAGAATTTGTTTTATCTTCTGGTAAGTTTATAAACAAGTTACATATTTCAAACACTTCCTCCTCCTCTTTCTTTTTTTGTTTTCAATTTAGTAACTTGTTTGAGTCTGAAACTACAAATATTTACGTAGCATATGATCAGAAAATGGTGTCAGCCTGGAAAAAGTAGAGGTTTGAGTAACATGATGTTTTTTAAAAGCAGTGTGAGGGCTTCTTAAGAACTGTTTACCATTTACAAAGGCTAGGCTGTAATCTAACAGTCCAAGTGAAGATTTAGCTTGCAGTGTGACCAATTATGCCATTTTTTTGCTTTGTCTGACTGCTAGTGAAGTAGGGTCCATCAGTTGTAATGAGACCCAGTGCAGTGTCGATGCCGACTTGATGGCAGAGTTCAGCATTTCACACTGCCTGGGCTCTGTCACTCTATTGAATTAGATTGATGATGGCAGATTGCAGGGGGCACTAACTGGACCTCAGTGGGAAAGGATGAAGTGTGTAGTCAATCCTGGCAGGCACTGTGCTTTGAGGACCCTTCACCCCTTCACAGCTGTTGGCACTAGTCCATTGCTAACAGTGTCCACAGGACTTTAAAGAGACACTATGGGCCTTCTAATTTATGGTCTTAGTAACTTGTTACTGTCGAGGCAACTGTGACCTCAATTCTCTTATTGACAAAAAGATGAAGTGCTATTTGTTTTCTCTGACCTTTTAACATATGAAAGGCTATAAAAGTTTTTTGGGTTTTTTTCTTTCTTTCTTTCAATGCCCAAAGTTGCATTTCCTCTTTAGATAAGTTTCTACTGACATAGACTTTTATATGCAGGA